AGAACAGACTGAGAGTGAAGTGAAACAGAAAGACATCTGAAGAAGTGAGGCCATTGGAAATGGGAGAGAAAAATAAAACAATACCGAAGGGGCAACGGGGATAACAGAAGCCCCGACTTTGGCGTCTTAGTGAGGGCTTTTCATGTCAGCAGAGGGAACACAGAACGTAATAGAGTTTGGAACATACTGTAGTAGCCTCGGGCAAGCATCCGGAAAAGGTCAAGCAACGGAAAGGGAAGTGAGACGCACACATAAACCACTATATAAAAAAGAGCTAAAACATATAATAAATCCAGGAAAGAAAGTAGAAATAGACTCTATGACATAATGTTCATCATTCATTGATGAATATTCTCTGTTGTGACACATTTCTTCATCCTGAAGGAAATGTACCATCAATGTTTTACCACCTGTAGCAGGTGTCAGTCGATGTTTTACCGATGTTTTACCACCTGTAGCAGGTGTCAGAATTCCCTTAGACAGGAAATAAAGAAGGAATTATTACCTGGATCACAGCATCACATTTAGCTCTCTCTGATATTGGAATAAATGTAGGAAGAAAAAAACAACAGAAAATGATTAAACATGTTAAAATGTAAAATGATCCCTGACTGTTCAAAAGTATAGAGGGGGAATTCTACTTGAAGGCAATTATTTTGGTGCAGTATTAGAAAATCCCTCAAAGTCTCCTGACTGCTGTTGAGGGAGACTTACAAGGTGATGCTGATTAGGATTCAAAATGATGGATGAGGTGGGAATGGGATGATTTGATGAGGAGAGGAGTAGGAGGCTCCCAGCAGAGCAGAGGAGTCAGGGAAGAAGTCGGAGAGCAGATTTAAAAGACGGCAACGGATGAATGATCTGCTAACGAGGCAGTCTTGGTGTAACTCCCCCGGGACACATATGACGGGCTAATGAAGACTTGATCACATTCAAACCACTGACACCTGCAGCAAACAGGAAGTGCGGGAATAAGACTATTATTGAAGCCGTGAATGGAGTCCTTAGAGAACCGAAGTTCTGAAACTTTACTGACTGTATTCTGCAGTTGTACCTGAAGGAAAAAAAAATCGTATTTCTCTGAGAAAAGCAACATTTAATGCTTCTCGTTTTATTCAAATTTTTACAGAAATCCCTTCCCACGCACACAGATGCCTGATGTTTTTTCAACTTCCTGTGGCACACTTACTGACGTGTTTGTGATTCCCTGATTTACCTTGTTTTGTTTCTGGGAAATGTGTGTGTGCGTGTTCCCTCTTTGGTTTGGTGATGGATTGTTATTTAGCTTCTGTTGCAGCTCGTGGCCTCACTCTGTTCCCCTGTGCCGTTCTGACTCATTTAATTTGAATTATCTGTTCTGAATCCTCCCTCTGTCTGCCACCGAGAGCTTCTAGAAGAGTCTTTAATCCAGCGGAAATGGCTTCTCCGTTCGTGGCAGCTACCTGTAAATTTTACAATATTTGTAGCATTTTTTTAAAAAAAAATTTATTAAACAAGAACAGAACATCAAATATTGTGCGAAACTTACCGACTGAGTGAAGGACTGAAACACATCATGGATTTTGCCGACGTGATAAGATATTCCCACTGCTCCCACTGTATATTTCGGTGACCTAGTTTACTGTACTGCAGCAGTTCTGTGGTTTTTATCCTAGTTGGCAGCACTCCAGCTACTACCACAAGATTCCCAGTCCCCAGACAGACTTTCCTTAAGTTTCACCCTAAGTAGGCTAACTTTCATTCTGATCCAGCACCAAAGAGCCGGTAGTGGTGTAGTCACCAAGCCTTAGTTTTCTCTGTGAGAGGTCTAAGTATTTCAAACCCAAACAGGCCTTTTGGTTTACACTTCCCTGGAAATCTCTTTGAAAAGCCGGAATGTTAAGAACTGAACTCTGAGAGGTTTATGTTGAATGTTAGTGAAAAATACAGACACAAATACAAAGCTATTAAATGATAATTTGACATGAGCTGCCATTGAACTAAACAAGGAATATAGAAATCTTTGCATTTCCTTTGCTCTAAAACAGTGAGCAAAAAAAAGTAATTTATGGCAGGCAACCAATCAGTTTGGTCTGGGGAAAAGAAATCTGGCTAACACTGAAAGCCGATTGGTTGAGTGAAGGTACTATTGTTACTGTTGTTGGATGCACACTCTCTCTGCCCTGCTTTTAGTTCAGGTGTTTAATTCAGTGATATTAATTAATAATATTTAAGTTTAATTAATTGATAGACACAAGGTTTTAACTTGTGATGTTAAGAGTTAGTTTATATTTGTAGATGCACTGGTGGATACAGTTACTCCTGACACACAGTGAGGATGTCTCTACAGCAGTAGTTCACATACTGTGAACTTCAATTTCAGGCTGGAGCGACTACTTGTGCAGTAAAATACTCAAACGAGGACTGTTTACTATTGTTTAAAATCCATGTGGACGGTTCTTTCACTGTCAACCTTGGACTTCTGTCGTGTTGTTGAGTCACTGTTTCCTCCCTGGTTCTGATAAGAAATGCCCATAAATGCCTGGGCTCACCTCAGGTATCAGTCAGTCCAATCTACTGATCAAACAAACGTTTGCACTTTAGCTCTTGTCGCTGGATTTGATCATTCCTACCTTCACTGCTAATGTTTGCTTCATTTTCCAGAGACAACTCTGTCATTTGTTTTAAACATTCTGAGAACAGATGTCTTTGGTGTCTTGACTCTTCCTTCACTGCCCTCAGTTGTCCCTGCAGTGCACTGCTGTCCTGCTTCACTAGTTCAAATCTCATTGAGAAAATTACATTTTCTTTTTTACTATTTCTTTATCCTCTCAGAGATAGTTCTGTTTGACGTTACTCCGACGATTTGTATGATTTACTGGACACTGCAATCAGTGGGAATGGTTGGCAGACGGCATAAATGTGTGGAAACAACAAAAGCCCTTCAGGGTTACAAGAAGTTTTAAACACTTAAAAATGAATCCAGTGAATAAATCCACCAAACAACCAGACAGTACAACAACTTCAACCAACCTTTTAAATTGTGAATGATGAAAGAGCTGAGGCAGCAGTTCAATGTTTTCTCTTATTGTTTTTCAGGAATCTTCTGGATAAAGACACATTCTCCAAGTCAGATCCATGTAAGTTTGCTTTTAACGAAGCTTTGATTGAAAACGTCAGGGATGCTGAACTGACACACACACACACACACACACACACAGACTACATTTTTGGGGGCATTTTCCCTTTAAATCATCTTCTCTTTCTCTCACAGTATGTGTTCTTTACACCCAAGGAGTGGAAACCAAACAGTGGAGAGAGGTGAGCGCTTTCACACACACAACACAGATGATGTTCTTGTTGTGTTTTTTGTAATTGTGTGTATTTGTACAGCACCTACTTCTTTCTCTCTTTGCACATAAAGCACTTGGATTTGACATTTCATTGATGAGAATCATTTACCGTCTTTTTGAAGGTGACAGGAAATATTAGAGAAGCCAGTTCAATGCAAAGATCAATATGTTGACATTTTCTTAATCAGCAGACATCAAGTCGGACGTCACTGTGGCTCCTTTAACATATAAAAGTGAATTGCTTGAATTTTGAATTATCAATCACGTGACACATTTGTCCAGGATTCAATTTTTAAGTGAAAGATAAAGCCCATAATAACCTTCTTAGAAAAACAGTCCAGCTCTAAAACACAGAAAATCAATCTGAATATTTTCAGTCACTGGAAACATCTTCAGAAGAATTGAATGGCAATTTGCTAATTTATTTAATCCCTTGTCTTCAGAGAATTATATTAATCAGGTTTTTTTTCTTTTTTTTAATGAAAGGACCCAACGAGACTAACCATGTGTGTTGTTTTGTCTGTTTGACTGACTGATATTTTTAAAGGAGTTCCGTTCATAAAACACTCCAATTAGTTAGGGCTGAACTTAATTGGTCTTAATTGTTCAACCATTGACAATTAAATGTGATTTGACACTCGGTCTTAATTAGTGAGATGATTAGTGATGTCCTTAGAGATTCAATAATTAACTACACTGATTGAAACTACAAACATGTTTTGCATTGGATTAACTAAGTACAAAACGGTTGGGTTCCACATCAGAGCAGAGAGATATGGTTTCATTGGCTTTGGTGTTGTTAGCTGTTGTTAGTTGTTGTTAGCTGTTGTTAGCTGTTGTTAGTTGTTGTTAGCTGTTGTTAGTTGTTGGCTTTGTGTCTGTTTTGAAACAGAATGAAACTCCAAACTGAGTATATTTGGTCATTCTGGTGTGTAGCAGCTTATACTGGATGTAGCTTATATGATGGATTTCAGAAAATTCATGGAACAGTGGACCAGCCAGTGGATTCAAAATGGTCACCCTGGGTGTATGGAACTAGTTGGTTAATCAATAAACAAACTAATGTTCTCATTTGTTATTACAT